TATATATTACACAATACTTATATAATTTATAAAATTAAACAAAACTTTTTTTTATAAATCAATTCATTTTTATAAATATAAATTAATTTTTTTTATTTGATTAAATCTAATTAAAGGATTAAATTTTATTAATACTTTGTTAAGTTCTTATTATAGAAATTTTATATTATATATAAAATTATGATTTTATTATTTTATTGATAATATAAATGAAGATTTATTAAGATATTTTAATTAAATATATTTATTTATATTATAAAATTTTTAAAAATAAATATTTTATCAGAATATGAAATTATTTTTAAAATATTAAAATATTTTAATATTTAATGATAAAATAAAATTTTAAATTTAATTTATTATAATATATCTAATAGTAATATTTTTAAATTTTTACAATTAATAATTATTAATATATATAAATTTTTCTATTTTTTAATTGTTAAAAATAATTTATTATCTAATAATTACAAAAATATATATAAAACTCTTTGCAGTAATCACTTAACCAAGAAATTTGAGAGTACTAAAGAACCTTTAATAGAACTTAGTGATATGGGTACTTTTATGTTAAAAGGTCATTATAATTAGAAATTAATTAAGCAACTTAGCAAAGAATTTGTTAGAGTTAGATTTTTTTATTAGCTTCTTTTTAGTTTAATAATAATTTGAGTTACTTATTTTTGTATTGAATTTAAATTTAGGATAAGAATTATTGTTAGGAAAAGAGAGAGATGTAGTAATAATCTAGTTATCATATATTGAGAGAATTTTATTAATAATTATCTTCTGAATATGATAGGATGACTAGTTGATCTGAAGCTAGTAAGTTTTTTTAACTTATAAGAATATTTTAGGCAGTTTAGTTTATTTTTTTAACTTTTATACCTGATTTTTAGGATTTCCATATATTAATTTACTAGATTTGAATTTTTATAATAAATATAAGTATTACCACGTTTTTAAAAAAATAATTATAAAAAATATAAAATTTAATTTATTGAATTTATCATATTAAAATTTATTAAATAGTAGTATTTTTTATATTTTTAAGATGATAAATAGCAAGATATATGAGTTTAATAATAATTTATTATTTATTTATCTTTAAAAAATTTATATTTAGAAAACATTATAAAATTTATTATAAATATATTAACTTTTTTAATAATATATTTTAAAATATTTACAAATAATTAAAAATAACTGTAATAAATAAATAAAATTGCCTATAAATTTGTAGATAAAATAATTAAAATAATACTTATTTATTATATATATTATTAAATTTGATATAATAAAATAAAAGTTGATTAAAAATCTTATAACTTTAAAATTATTATTATTTTTACTAATATAATTTATTATTATTATTAAATATCTTAAATGTAAAAATTTATATTTATATTAAGATAATAATACTTTTTATAAATTATTAATAATATTTATATTTTAAAATTAATAAAATATATAAATTAATAAATAATAAATCAAATTAAAAAATTTTTTAATATTATTTATCTTATTATTAATATTAAATAATTCTTAATACAATATAAAAAATGTAATATAGAATTATACAAAACTTATATATAAAAAAAAATATATATATAAATTATATTAGGATTTTACAAATCTTATCAAAGTTGCAAATTTATATAGTTAATTGAAATATAATCCAAAAATAAATTTAAAAAAGTTATAACACATCTTTTTATTAAAAAAGAGATTAAAGATTCAATATAATAATAAATAAGAATATAATAATTACTTTACCATCATCAATAAAGAAGCCTGTTTAAATTATTTGTTAATAGGTTTTTAGTTTTATTATAAATTATTTGCTTATATTGAATATTTTTATTTAAACATCCAATAGTTTTTTAAAGTTAAATCAAAGGTTTTATATTTAAGAAATGGTTATTTTAAAGGTTTTAATGGTATTATTAATAATTATTATATTACAAATAATGATATTAAATTTGAAGATTAGATTTATTAAGATAAGTGAGTTTCTTTTGAATGTTGACTATTAATAAAAAATTTTTTTCCTGATATATTAATTTGAAAAGGACTCAATGATTTATAATTGATTACAATTCAAAGATGAATTTTTCATAGGATAAATACTCATATTTTTTAATTAAAAGTATTATAAATCCCATTATTCCTAAATGATAACATACCATATGCTTTAACTATCTAATTTACCCCTAGTATCGCCAGAAATTTATAAGTAAAAATTTTACCATGTGATCAGTGACATATAATGGGAGTGAAAAAAAAAATATTTTTCACTACTTAAAAAATTCTCAAGTCCCCGAAATACTTATGAAAGGGGGGGGGGGGATTTTATGACGATACTGGGTAAGATTAACTATCTATGTTATGTCTCGTGACTCGATTTTTGGCGGAAAAAAGGGAAATTACAATTTTTGTTATTCTCGATCGATCAACGGTCATGTGTTATTTATAAGAAAGAAATAAATATAAATATAAAAAAATATTTAAAAATTAAAGTAAATTTATTTTATTTATAAAGAAACATTTTTTTAATTTAAAAAAAAAAAAGGACTTTATTATTTCATCAGAATAAACCGAATTTTTTTGTCGTGTTGAAAACTAATATATTTGTAAATGGGTTCATAACGAAATATCAAGGTTATGAATTAAAAATCTCGGGAGTTCTATAGAGAGCGATTCGAGCTTGTAAAATTTTCTAATAATAGCAATTTAATAAAGTTACATAAAAGCAGTTAATTAGAACTTTAACTACAGTTGATTTTCCCGTAGTCATATCCTCCTTATAAGATTTTTTTTTTTTATCTCGAGGGGTGGTTGATTTAAGGTTATATAAATCGTCAGAGGATTTTCCAAAAAAAAGAAATTCATTTTATCAAAACAAATCTTTTTGGTCGCATAACATAATAATTTTAATCTAGAACTCTCAGTTCTAGAAATTTTTTGCGAAATATTTTTGAAGATAATAAATGAAAATATTATATATATTTATTAATAATAAATAAAATTTAAATCGATGTATAATAAGATCTAGAATTTAATGTTTTTCTTGGTTGTGTACGAATGAAATTTATAATGATCCTATTTTCGTCGAAATAAAAAATGGTTAGCTGGAAATCCTCATTTTCAAGTGTTTGGACTGTCTATGGTACCTTGAAAGGAAAAACAGATTGGCATAGCATATATGAGATAATCATAACTACAATCTATTGTTCCATTCATCATCTTAATTTTAAAATGGATTAATTTATATATACAGTCAGTACTTTTAATCCCAACATATGAAACATGAACCCGACAGAATAAGTTTAACATGGTCATTAATTTGTATCGCTATGAATCTAGATCGAATCGCTAAATGGTACTATACATTCACCGAAACCGTTATTGAAAAAAATGATCCGATCCTGTGCGTTACATGTCAAATCGAATTTTCATGACGACTCGTTAAAGCATCATTTTTTTGTTTATAATATATATCTCTTCGACCTTTCAAGTGAATTTCCTAAGAATATGTCTTATCTAATATTTATTTTTAATTAACTTACTTCAAATCAATACTTAATTATATAGAAAGTACGATCGTAAGTCCGAGTTCATTTCAATAAGTATATATGAATTTATCCTATTGTTTTAAAACCAACATATTATAATCAAGGGAACGTCATGAAATATAAAGTCGACAGATGGCAAAAATTAATTGGTGTCGTTGAAATGATGTCGTCGCGAATTGTCAAAGTGGAAATGTAACTGTTTAACATCCTTCTACAAAAAGGTTAATTTGTAAATCATAGATATCCTATTACTCTATTAATAATCACGAAACAAAAATGCACGAAAATTAATTTATGCGCTAGGTTTCCTCTTCGACCTAGATGTCCCATCAGTAATGAGATGACGGGATATCCGGATGCGATTAATTTGTAGATCTCTATATTTCGCCAAGCTCAATGGTTAATTGAGAATTGATTGTGCAGATCATAAAGTGGTGAATTTCAAGACTTTTAAATATAGAATGGGGGGTTATATTAAAAGTAAAAAGAGAGGTGGGTTTGCAATTTTTTTTATTAAACAAAACATAAAATAAATTAATGAACTTTGACTGCGCAAATATACATACCCGATTTTGACACAATCCCCGAAATTATGAAATACAGATCGTCATAAATGTTCGGGGTTGACAAAATTGACCCGAAACTTAATCATGTTTAGATTAATGTTTATGAGTGAGTTCCACCATTTCATACATCGGAACCCTTTTTAATGATGTGCGGGCTAAATAAACAGTATTATTAATTGTTTCTTTAAAATAAGAAAACGACGGGAATTACAAACTTTATCGAATCGTTAATAATGCAGGACAGAATAATAAAAAGATCGATAATTCAATGAATGAACACAAATATATATAACTTGCATTATTAACCGAGTACCGACAATATTATATTTTGACATCTCAACCTGTGGTGCGATAGTTTTTTTTTTTTGTATTCTTTCAAAAAAAAAAAAATGATTTAAATTTTTAATCGAATTTTGCCGAATGAGGTCAGATTAATCATTAACGTTAAGGTTTGAGCCAATAAGTCCAATCGGAGTTATTTTTAAAGTAGATGATCAAATTTATTATTATTTTGAAGTAAATATTATTATCATCATTGAAACGTAATCAAAAAAAAAATGATTTGTGCAGTTTCAGCCATGCATATAATGTTTAATGTTTTTTTTTTGTTATAATAAATTTTATTGTCTAAAAATGATTTTGTCATTGATAATTTATCAATCATGAAATTTTATACAAATAAAAATTGACATTTCTAAATGGTGTTTTTTGTTATAATAGAAAAATGATTGTAACTATTAATGTAACCATTGAAAGTACGGCATCCAATCAAAGGATCAGATTTATATTAAATCCTTAAAAATGAAATGATTAACTTGTGCAGTCTGTTGTGTTAAATTAAATTATTAAATTGTATTTCTTAAAATTTTCTAGGCTTAATTCGGACATTTAAATCGTGAAAGCTTCTTATCAGTATGAATTTAGCTTTGCAAGGATTCTTCATGTTCGATAATTCAATGTCCAATTTATGGTAAACTAAGGCAATCATGACCTTGAGTTCAATAAATGACAGCTTCCTGCCGGGACAAACTCTGCGACCTCCTCCAAAGATTATATGTGGGGGTGATTTTTTCATATTAAGATATCTGTCGGGATCAAATTTTTCAGGTTCATCCCAATAAATTTCGTTGTGATTTACACCATGAATATTTATGATGTATTGTGTTCCCTCGGGCCACACACGGTCTGCCACTATATCTTCGGCGGTGCTATTTCGTGCCGTGTATGGTGCAGGTGTGAACATCCTAAATGATTCTTTGATGATGGCATCGGTGTAAACTAAATCCGATAAACTTTCGAGATCTAGACGTCGATCGCCCATTTTTTTAAAGAATGCGTCCAGCTCAACTCGAAGTCGCTTTAATACATCGGGATGATATGCCAAGTAATAAATGACAAAGCTAAACATGTTGGCGGTCTATTAAATGATTAAACCAACAAATAAATAATTAATTAATTTAATAAAGTTATACACGCATTAAAATTTTTTTTTTTCATGTTTAAAACGTACCGTATCAATTCCACCGACAAATGTTTCCCATAAAATGCCACGGATTAGTTCGTCGTTCATGGGTTGTGTATGTTCTTCATCGACCATTTTAATTTCGCAAATATCACGATCCGTATTAGCGGTTATCATAGAGGTCAACATGTCAAATCGAAGTGGCTCACTTCGAGGGGTACATTCAATCTCCTCCCTTCTCTGTTTAATAATCTCATCAACGAAGCCAAACAACCAATCACGATTCTTTAAATGATTTTTTGATGTATTACCCAAGATTGGTAAATATTTTCGAACCCATGGAGGGACGATAATAAAGAAATAGATTCCAACAATTAAAGTTTTTATGCTCTTAAAGAATTTCGAGGCGTCACGCAAATCATTCTCTGAAGGTTTTTTAGGTTTCCTGTTTTGTGCTGCCATTAATTCATTGTAATATGCTTCGATCGCATGAATTCTCTTCCCGGTTGTGAAATGAGTTATGGAATCTGTCGTGAATCTATGACACCATTCTACGACGTCGGTTTCAAAACAACCATCATTATCAGATCCATCTTCCCAAAAGCCCATCATTTCCTCAACTAGATTTTGGGTCCATATGACGGAAGATTTTGAGAAACTTGGAGTGAGTAACGCTCGCGAAATGAAGTGTCGATTATATTTCCAAACATTTACATTATGGTTCAACGCAATCCCTTTTCCCGCGATGCCTAATTCTTCCAAACCGGAAAAGTATGGAATTCGCCTCAGGTATTTTGAATTCAATGAATAATCAAACATGTTTTGCATGTATTCGAATTTACTCAACATGATGAACCTTTTCGGTCCGAAATAAATTTCAAACATGTCACCATACTTTTTTCGCATACGTTCCGTATAATCAACGAAATCATCAAAACCTCTATCCAAGATGTTACCAATGATGGGTAACGGGACTGGACCAGGTAATGGATTCTCTCGTGTGTAATAACTGAAATAAAAGTAACTTGTGTATACTATACATAATGTTAAATAAATTAACACTAAATCATATATCCCTATTGAAGAGACAATTGTGCTGATAATTGCCATATTTTTTTTTAGTTTTATTTTTTATTTTTATTTTATTTTTTACTAATCTAAATAATTATATATATAATAATATTTGACGAAAGGATTTTGTTTTTCGAAAATTTTTTTTTTTGGGAAATTTTAAAAAAAATTTGCTTTGCTAATGTTGCAAAAGGTTCATTATTTATATAAAATTTACGTTGCATCGGGATTCACCTAATTTTTTAAATTTTTGTTATAACAAAAAATTCATTCGCGCGTCAGTTTCATTTTATGCACTTAACCAAAATTAGAATAGTGTAATTTACTCGGGGTGCGAAACTTGGTACTTGGGATGATTCTTTGAGTGTCCAGTTCGATGGTTACTCTATTTGGTGTTTCCGGATCAACATGAAATTATTTGACGAAAGTCTTCGTATGAATCAAGAAAGATATTACATCAAAAAAAAAAAAAAAAAAAAAAAGTAAACAAGTGATCGTATTTTAATATACAGCAATTAATTATTTGGGATTGATCTCGGGGATAAAAATAAAAAAAGGTCAACCATAACTTTGTGGTTTCTACTGAATTTTATTTTACTTTTTTTTTTTATTTTTTTTTTCTTGAAAAAAAAAAAAAAAGAAAAAAAAAAAGCAAATCTCGTTTTGGGAAAACCCCCGGCGTTTGATCGCCGATAATATTAAGTTTACTCAAAAAAAAAAATATTATTGTGCACATCTAACACCTATTATCCGAGAAACCCTTTGCCAGACTTTCAAAATTGAGCGATTACGAAAAAAATTTGTTCAAGTAGTTGGTTGGATACACTGAATCGAACAAAGAAAAAATTTTTATCGAAATCAGCTGTTTATGTTTTTTAAAAATAGATGATGATTAAGCAAAGGAACATGCATATGTTTATCTAGTCATATTCATTTTTTAACTAGAGGTAAATTAATCACTAAAATGATTTGAATGAAGCCAAATATGAAAACTGGGAATTCGCGGGGATAGCCGAGTTTACACATTTTTGGGTATACTATCCCGAAAAAAATTATCATCGCATAAAAAAAAAAAATAAAACCTTGAAATTATTATTACTTCTTTATTTGCGAACAATTTATTGTTGATGCACTTAATTTACCTCGTATTCAAAGTTTCTTTCTAATTATAAAATCATGGTTTACATAATATATACTTGTGTTAAAGTACTGCGGTCCTAAGATGAGTTAAAATTATTGAACGAGGTAAATCATATCCATCTTTTTTTTATAAAATTTCCGTGAAAAGAATGCATCATGCCAAAGCGAGTTAGAATTATTAACTGAGGCATGGTAATTATCCTGCATTTGCTGCAGCATTCAAATTTTATGGGTTATACAATTTATGTGATCAAATTGTTTGGTGCAACATTTTCGAACGAAAAAAAGAAATTTCTAACTTTCGACCTGATAGGTATAGAAACCCTGGAATGGTTGGATGGTTTTAAAGTTAAGAAATGATGAGAAACAATTAAACGTTTCAGATATTACCTTATAATCGTAAAAAAAAAAAAAAATAAAATTTTTTTTGGGACCGTATTATTCTTTTTTTTATTTTTTACTTTACTATTTTTATTTTTATTTTATTTTTATTTTACTTTTGCTAGACTATTTATTACACAAGCATTTCCTCATTAATAAAGTTTCTTCATACAATCGTGATCGAGACAGCTTTAGATGCAAAAACAATAATATTTGTAGCCATGTATGCATATGCCCGAAATATATCAATTCTGTATGCAAACAAGTATATAAAATGTTTTCTAGAACGATAAGTTACACGAATACAAAGACCAATTACATTGACAATGCGTTGATTAACTACAACAATAGCGAACTAATTAGAAGCTTGACAATAACGATAACATTTTACAATGCCCCCTTTTTAAGAAAAAAAAAAGGTAATTAGCGCTTTCTCATTACCCAGCACAATAGAATGACAAATTTTTCAACGAAACATATACGATTTCCTTATAATTTTTTGGCCAAAATTTAAATCACGTGAACATTTGTTAAAATTAATTCATTCCTTAAAAAAAATTTCTAAAGTTTAAAAGTACATATGATAATAAAGTTTCTTACTTACTATTTGCAGTTCCTGCGTAACTTAAATTTTGCATTTTGTTTAACATTCATCAACGACTAAAAGATAAGATGGTATAACATGTAAATCTCGCTATTAGAATAATGATCGTTCTTTGATTAGCTTTTGTTGCAGTTTCTGGTGCAATCAGGTCATTCGATACAAGGATGTTCATTATGATGACTGCGCGCAAGCTCAAAATATGATGGATCTACCGAAACTTTCAATCAAACGGTTTAAAGTTCTTACAATAGATCCGACATGACATTAAACGTAGTTTGTGGTTGGCTTATGACATGACCTAATCAATAACTTTTGAATAGTAGATCAAATTTTTAAAACGTCTTAAACCAATCATTGTCATTTAAAAAACTTCGTCTTTTAAATTACTAAAGGGGTTTCTTTTCCTGATTAGTCATACATTAAGAAATGCATTCCTTGTTAACTTGTTGCCTTGAGTGTTAGTAAAAAAGTAAAAATATCCACTTCGCCAGCTTATTCTTCAATCGCGGAAATGTTCGGAAGAAAAGTTTTTCAATTCGAAAATCTTACTATATGTGAGAAATTGAAAAACCCGCGTCGACACCAAATATTTGTACGTCCTAGAGACTTTAGCCCAAGGTCATTGGTAAGAATTGCTCAAGATATTTCTTTATTCAAATATTTTTCTAAATCCTTTTTCCTTTTTCCTTATAAATCTTTACGTAGATTTGCAAAAAGAACTTTTAGCCAGTTGTCTTTTTGTAAGGATGTTAAGCGGTCCTAAACGGTCCTAAAAGACCCAATAAATTTGCAGCTCTAGAGAAGATTTTTATTTTATTGGCATTTTTTTTTTTTACATTAATGGAATATTTCTTAAAAATAAATATAACCTTTTTCGGGAATTCAGAAAATTTAGAACGGGCGGGTTCCATCATGAAAATTATTATCAAAGAATTACTTATTTTAGATAAGCGATTTAGACTTTTCTATAAATGGAAATTCGTTTACTGCGGTCTTAAATTTTATGTTTGATAAAATGATACAGCAGATTTTACATTTAATGATGTTTTGTAATGACACGAATCTTTGTATAATATCATATTTTTATTTTATTTTTTTTGTAACTGTAATCCTGAAAGTTCCGAGTAAATATCAAATAATCTTTCTGACATCGGCAGTTTGTTGATCAGTTATTGCTTTACGCACACGTGATAACGCGACTTTGTTATGTCTTTTTCTTATATGGGAAGTTCGTATCTTTTTAATAAATTTGTATCACTTATTTTCGAGGATTGGATTTATATTACTATTTAATACCTATAGAAAAGTTTATTTATATATGTATGGTTTTTTTTAAAAAATTAAATTTTAAAATTTTTATTAAAGGTTATAGAATTATAGATTACCATTTGTTTTTATAAAGTATAATAAAATTAATATATAAATTATTAAAGACCTTTTATAATTATTTAATAAAAGTCTATTTCTTTAATTGTAATAAATTACCTACAAATTTGTAGGCAATTTTAACCAATTTTAATTAAATTTTAACAAAATTTTATTAATAAACTTAAAATTTTTTTTTTAAATTTACTTAGAATACATTATAAATATTATTATAAAAACATTATTTTTTAAAATTTTTTATTAATATTGAATATTTTATATTATTAAAATAATAATTTTTTTTTATAATTTTTAAAGTTAAAATTTATTTTATTTTTATATATTTACTTCAAAATATAAAAATCATTTATTATATATATTTTATTTGTTCTATATTATATTAAAATATTTACTAATATTTGGATATTAATTTTTAATTTTAATATATAGCATAATATATGTAATATTACCTATAAATTTATAGGCAATTTTAGTTAATTTTAATTAATTTTTCCTACTAATTAACTTAAATTTTTTTTTTTTGCCTTTTACTTAAAAAATGCTATAAATATTACTTTAAAAATCCTTTAATTAATTTTCTTTTTTTGCAACTTTAGTTATTTATCTTTTTAGATCTTGTAATTTATTTTGTATTACATATTGGTTATTATACTTTCTTTGAGTTATTGTATAACATTCTAGTTTTGTATTACTTTTTAGTTATTATATAATATTTAAGTTATCATATCACATTTCAGTTATTGTATTACATTCTATTTATCATACTTTCTTTTAGTTATTATTGATATGTATTACTTTTTAATTATATTATATTATGTATGACTGTATTATATTAAATGATTTATGTTTCATTATATTATTCCACTTAATTACTCATTTATTATCATGTGATTTTTGGCTGATTGTTTTTCTTTCTTAATTTTACATTCAATTGATTATTTCTTAATCTTATAATATTATAATTTCTTTAATCTTTATCCATTTATTATAATGGGTCATGTGATACGTCATTTTGAGATTTCTTAACTCTATAATATGAAAGAGAATTCTAATGAATTTAGTATCCTTTTAGCTGATAGTATTTTTAATTATAATCTTTATCAGTTCTAAGAATATAAGGGCATTGATAAAATATCATATTTGATAACTATGTTTGGTTTATATATTGATTTATATACTTCAGAATTAAATTTCATTTTAAACTTTTTTCTCTTAAAATATATACTTTCTTTCAAATTATGTATTATTGACATATTATCATAATTCATCTACGTAAAAAAAGTCTAAACCTGATCTTAGTATAATAAATGAGATAATTAAGTTCTTCTCTAATTTAGCGAACTTCGATTGTGAGCTTAGCTATAATAATCATGAATACTTTCAATAATTGTCTAATAGTAAAAATGATATCACTCCTCTAGATATCTATCATCCTAAAGAGATTTTTGATAAATATATAATTTGGGTATTAGAGAAAGAAAGTTTTAAAGTAGTTAATTGCACAAGTGGGATACCACACTTTAATATAATTATATTAATGCGTGGTATCCCACTTAGACTAGGTTATAGTATCACACTATAATCTAAATACCTTACTATAGTCTGAATATCACGTTATAATCTAGATATCACATTATAATCTAAATACCACACTATAATCTAAATGTTACACTAAAATCTAAATACCACACTATAACCTAAATATCATGCTATAATCTAATGACTACAACCTGATCATCACGCTTTAATCTGAATACATAACCTGGTTACCACTCTTTAATCTACCCTTTTATTTTGATGTTACCTCTGTTCACATTCTAGTTATATATTTATAACTTTCTTGGCATTTGTATTTTTCTCATATGTATGACTTTATTATCACGTTTAATCTAAATACCACTCACGCTTAATCTAACTACCTCTCTTTTCTTCCTGTTTCTACTCCACTTGTAATTTAAGTTATATATTGATGATACTGATCTCCTGCACCTGATTGGGTGCTAGATTTTATATTGGAGTGTTTACCCTTTACGCCTATTTGGTTGCCCGCCAAAATGCTAAAATATGGTAAAAAAATTCTGAATTATCACGGGATATAAAAAGCATTAATAATATTAACAGATTTTCTCAAGAGGCTGACTCATTGCCTCGATTGGGGAGATACCATATGTCATCATATGTGATAATGAATTTATAAGAAATAAAGAAGCGTTCCAAGAAGGGCCAGCCAACTTCGGTATCACTTTTGGTATATTTTTATCTCACACAAAAACTCGACTGGTACTGAACATCCTCTGCCATATAATATAGCAAATTCAGTTAATTCTATTAGTTCACCAGTTCAGAGGTATGATATGCATTATTATGGCCAGCCCATTTGATTACCAAAAAATGTGCCATTCTACAACCTAACTATTGCTTATTAGTTGCTGGTATATTTATGCCGATTTCGCATCCTGAAGTTGGATATGCAATATGTATTATTGTGGCTGATCCATTTATACCATACCCGAGTACATATCTAGAAAGATGAAGGCTTCTCCTAATATTTTATATAATAGATTACACACTTACCTATTCTAGATGATATACCTGAATACATATCTAGAAGTCTACACTTTTTGATATATATCAGTTTGCCTTTCATTTTGATGCATCTGGATGCCTTTCTTCTTGATGGCTGGTATAAGTATGCCAATTTCGATTGCCGGTATAGGCAGAATATATTGATTCTGACTAGGCCCAAAATTATATAACTAGTTTGCGTCAATGAGGGGTCTCCCATACCCAAATACATGTCTAGAATAATGAAGCCTTCTTCCATTTTTTATATATAGATTACGAAGAAGGCTTCACTTTCAGTTGCATATTTGCTTGCCTTTTATTTACGATTTACTTACTAGCTTGCTATACGTCTTTTTTTACATTCATCAAAAAAAATAATTAAACGTTTCGAAAATATATTGGAGTATATAAAGATTTACTTACTGACGGCATGCATACCTCAACTATTTCTAACCAAACTGATCGCAGAACTCTCGCCCGCTACGACAGCGCTGAATCCGATAAATATTTAAGTGACTCAAGCAGTTGTACTGATAATAGATCCGACTTAGGGTCAGATGATTATAATGGCTATGAGTCTAATTATGAGTCGGATAATGAAGAAGCTCCCTGCACTTCAACCAGCACTATCAAGACTCCATTAGTTCAATCACCAAATGTAAACGAGCGAAAGATTAATGTAGCATATACTTTAAGACAGGAAAAGTTTAATGATAATTTTTCTTTCAAGGACTTGCTAAATGCTATTCAAAAAATTTTCCTATCACCACCTAGAGATATGTCAGATGAAAAAGGCTCATTGGAATATCTCCTAATCTATTCATTCCTCTTTCCGAATGAAAAAGGGTCTAGTTTATATAATGCTTATGATCGGGATGAAGTAGAAGATAAATTGGTTATCAAAATTGATCAAGACTGTGATCGTGTCCTGAAGTTTTCCGTTGCAGATGACATTTCAGAAATATATGGTCTACCAGGGATTCACGAATGCATTAATGGTCAAAAGCCTTTAAGAGCTGTGATTGATATCGATGCATCGAAAAAAAATATGGAAACAGCTGATGTTAAAGGACAAGAAGTGTT